AAATGGCTCATTTCTTGCTGTGCGTGGCATCTTTGAGGTTGTTGGACTCCAGGAACATTTGAAATCTGTCCATGTACGAGTCCCAGTCTTCGCTAGCTGGATCGAATGGTGCGGGTGGTATAGCACTGCTGGCCATGTCGCCGTCATTGCGCTCTGTCAGCCACGTGTTCCTTCAGCTAGCTCAATTCAATAGCTTTCGTTGCCTCCGCATCCCATCCTTGTCGCCAGTGTTAGATCTGGGAGGACGGTTCAAGAACGGAGGCAAGACTCAGATAGCAACAACAGCTCTTTATTTGTGACTTCAGATCTGAGCAACTAACCCCAGCCGCAGCAGCCCCTTATATAGGGCTGGCTGTGGCTAGGCAGCCAATGAAGGTGATTTGAGTTTGCCGCTCTTGGCAGGGCCAATCGCGGCAGCCCGTTTACTGGCCAATCGCATCAGTCTATGGCGACCGGCTATCAGCGGGCCAATCAGATTTGCAGGCTACGAGCCTGCTAGTCCGGAACAGTGGACATTAGTGATCTGGTCTATGTGGCAGCTAAAAGTGAGTTGAAGGTGGATGACAAGATCAGGGACTGGATAAAAGCAATGGTGCCATAAGACCACATGATTTCAACCCACCTTCATGATGCGCAATATGCACCCTTGAGTAGCACTTCTAGAATGGAGCACCTTAACCTCTAATTGGTGTAGATTAGCTATGGGGAGACACTGAGATAAAGGATATTAGCCACGGTGGTGCAGTGGTAAGAGTACAGTACTGCAGGCTACTTCTGCTACCTGCTGTCTGTCTGCAATTTGACAGTTCATAACTCACCAGGCTCAAGGTTGACTCAGCCTTCTATCCTTCCGAGATGGATAAAATGAGGACCCAGATTGTTGGGGGAAATATGCAAACTGCTGTAAACTGCTTAGAGAGGGCTGTAAAGTACTGTGAAGCGGTATATAAGTATAAGCGCTATTGCTATATCCTGTCCTTTGGAACATCGTTCTCCCCAGAGTGAAGTCAGCTCCCACCCCCTGACCTTTCACAAGAGCTTGGAGACCTGACTATGCCGGTTGGCCTGGGGCTCCAATGGGGAGTGTCATCCTGAAGGTGGGTGATAGATTAATAATAGATCCCACTTCCCCGCTTGCTTATCCTACTCCTCCCATCTTTTAGATATAGCTGATAATTTGTATTTTTATTTTATTCTTACTATATATATGTTTCTCTGTTGCTTTATTCTTTTTGACATTGTAAGCTGCCCAGAATCACCTCATGTTCAGATGGATGGCAAACAAATTAAATAAATAAAAATACAGCATGCAGACATGTCCTCTGAATATGGTTAGTGAACTGTACCAGGATGAGGAAATTGAATGGAGGTTGTCCCTCCCTCCATCTTTCCCTTGTATTTCTCTTACAATGCTATTGCATAAAAACACCTACAAATTCTGGGGAAAATTTGATCATTGTTTTCCTTCTTTCTCTGCAAAGTTTACACATGACCCTCCCTACAATCTCAGTTAATTAATTCATTACTAACAAGGTTAGCAATAGTAGTAACAGTGTACTATAGTAATACTAACTATAAAACACATCATGTTATAGAACAGCTTTTACAAATGTTTTCTAAGAATGCAGTGCCCATCGAGATATGTCTTTTGCTACTTTACCTATAAGGATTGTCCAATGACAAGTAGTTTCAGATTGCATTTGGGTAAGCAGAGAGTTTTTAACTCCCAACCTGCCCCCTGCTATTGGTACATTACGTTTAAGTTTACAGAACAAATGCATACCAAGAGCTGTCCAGATTCACACTATTCATACTGCTAGTTTTCAACATAAGAAACAGGAAAACAGTCTGAGACCTAAAGATGGAGAGGCCAAATAATAAAGAAATGAGCAAAGTTGGAGAAAATACATTACCTTGCTGAAATGAAATTCATTTCAATTTTTCTTCACTTCTTCTTTGACTTTTACTGACAGAAACAGGGGAAAGGGTTCCATCAACCACAACCCACAATTCAAGGAATGGTGTAGTGCCATTTTCAGTGATGAATGAAAACAATTCTGCTGTGCTGCATTTTAAAGAAATGTAATCAGAGTCATTTTAGATATTGAAAGATAAGAGAAAATTCCAGGCTGCAGTATAAGTGATGGTATAGATAAAATAAACAAATAATAATAATAATAAAACCAAGTTAAAGAAAAAAGCCAAAACCAACACCCCAAGTGTATATGATTAAATTTATTGTTTCCCATTTATCTAATCTCCATGCTGTTTTCAATGAAAGTATTTTATTTGAAGCTGTATTTGTAAACATTTCCCAAACTCAGATAGCCTTGAGCCTCTTGCTTTATTGTGCATTTTAATACAGAGGGTCCACTGTAGATTTTGCTGCCATTGTCCTTCCGAACCAATAAATAAAGGCAAAGTAGTGTGCAGCCATCTAGTCTCCTGGATGTGTAAAGAAGCTATTCTATGGACCTTGCACAGTCAAATCCCACTATACAGTCAAGTGCTCGAAGTTACTTCTAAAGTGGCAAAAGAAAGGGGATGGGAAGTTAAATTAATGGCCTGCCTTTTCCTTGAGGGTTCTAAGTGGTTTACATGCAGATCATCCTTCATTTTAACCCACAGTGAAATTTCTGTAATGTAGACTAGATTGAGAGAGAACACGACTGGCCCAAAATCACCCTGTGAGTTTCCATGGCTGAAGATGGACTTTGATTTGCATCTCCTCAGTTCTAGTCCAACATCTACATTACTACAGGATAACATGGGTAGGGATCATCAAAGTATTGGTTCAATTTCTGAAATGCCATTCCTTGTTCTCTAATTCTGACAGAAAATGTCTCCAGGAACAGGCCATTTTTTAAAGGGAAAATGGATGGCAGGAACCAAGTATGGATCCAGTGAAAATTCTACTCCCCTAAGAGATTGCTCTCTTGAGCATAAAAATACCATTAGGCTTATGTGCTGAAACTCTGTCCCTTTTGTACATGTGTCAAATGTTGCCCAAACATATGAAAATGTCAGCTTTGTAAGATGGACCAGATCAAAAAACAGACACCATGTCCATTAGATCTAAAACTACCTTTATTAGTAATTTTATTGTACAACAGCTACTATTAGTAGCTATTGTAACAGAATCATGCAAGTCTGAATCTGCCTTTCTTCCTCTTTCTTTTACCTTCCTATAAATTAGGGGGTGCTTGTCTCACACATTTCATAATTCATTTTATCTTCATATCCTCATGTTGTTTGTTGCCTTGGTCATGGATCTTCCTCTCTTTCCCAAAGTTATCCTCTTTATTCTCTACATCAAGGAACAGAGCTTATGGTGGGATGTCACGATCCTGTTTTCATGATATTTATGAAAGAAAGGGACCTCAAGAAAACCTCTTCCTCTTGATTGATCAATATTGGTCCAGGAATATCTTCTCAAATACTTTATTTTTATGATATTCATCAACTAACATTGATATAGTATGATCATTAAATATATATATATATATATATGTATATATATATATGCAACTAATTTATCCCTCTGTCATATTACCTAAAATTCAGCTGCCTCTTTTGAAGGAGCCTGGGGATTGTCCCCAAAGCTGTGTAAAATGGCCTGTACTCTGGGGCTGAGAACCCATACATATACTCTCACTTTCCTGACATATGGGGTGCAATGGTTCAGCGGCTAAAGACACTGACCTTATTAGCTGGAAAACTAACAGCCTGGGTTTGAGACAGGAACGAGTTCCTGTTCTTGCTCCGCTTCATGCTCACCTAGCAGTTTGAAAGCATACAAATGCAAGTAGATAAATAAGTATCCCTTTGGTGGGATGACAAATCTAACAATGTTCTGTGCAGCTCAGTGTATGGTCATGTCGGCCACTTGACCACCAAAGTGTTTTCAGACAACATGGGCTCCCTTGGCTAAGAAACTGAGATGAGCACTACCTAGAGTCGGACATGAATGGGCAGGAGAAAACTTTACCTTTATGTCCTGACATTTAACTTCTCACAATTACATTCAACAGGGCTTGTTTCTGTGTTGCATAATAAGATCACACTGTCAATCCATTCCTGTTCTGAATTGAAGGGAATGTGTTTACAGGAATGCAAATCCTTTCCTATTTACTTTAGTGCAAATTAAATGGTTCACCATCCTTTTTTTTCCAGCCAGCCTTCACCTTTCTTTTCCTCTTCCAGCCTTTGTCAAACCTTTATTAGTTCATTAAGTGTTTTAGAAGATGGTGGGAAGGCAGGCTGTCTGTTTAATTTACTGCTTTCACATGGTACATTTGCCTAGTGCAGGGCATGAAGATCGTGAACTGAAAAGTCACACTGTGCTTGTGTGAACTAAGTAATTATTATCTTCAGGCTTGACTTGCTGTCTCATAATTTCAGTAGTGCCTAGTGTCATTTTCTCATAAGACTATCTACATATAAACAGAGGGCTCTGTGATGGAGGATCATGAGATCTGAATATGAATTATCTCTTTGTGAATTCTATCTTATGCATAAATTCATGGCTTTACCATTTGTGAGTTATCAGAGGATATTTCATGGATGGAAATCATTCTCGTTATTCTATGTCTTAAATTATATTTTTCTTCCCCCTGTTGCAGCTTTCATTTGAGTATGTTTTGTTTTCAATTTCATTCTAAACTGTTTATACTTAATACATTATCTTAGTGCTTTTGTGGGCTCTTAAAGGCAAAGGTTCTTTCACTTGTCCAACATAATGGGGTAAAATTTTCACCAGGCATATTGTCTCTTTATTGGTGTTTATGGAAATTCTGTGATTTTTTTTTATCATTAAGAAAGCTATTTTTTTGCTTAGTTCACACAAATTCCTAGTCTTTTGAAAGTCAAAGCAGCTGTGACTGGAGATCATTTTAGACAGCACAGTGTGAAAAAATAAAAGGTAAACATGTTCATGGCATGGAGGTTTTGTTTACTGAAGATAGAGCAGTCAAATATTACAGAATATGCAGTGTACAGTAAATAGTAGAAGTGATCCCATGTCCAAGATCAGCCATGTTATCAGTTTACTACCATTTCTCTAGAAATTCTGTGTTGTACTCTTACATAGCAATTGGTTTAACTCAGTGGTTCTCTTCCATCACTCTTCTTTAATGTTCTTATAATGACATTCAGAATAGTTTCAGAGGTCATTTTCTAAAATTAGGGAATAGAGAATATTATTATTTTCTAAAAAAAGAGAGTAAAATAATTGTAAGACAAGATAAATGCACACAATCTACAATGTATATTCATACATAATGTAGCCTACATTTTAACTCAGCATACCTTAACTTAGCATATCTAAGCATATTTAGCTTAGCATATCTGTGTGGGTTATATCCCTTCAGATAATGAAGCTGTGGTTTGACGGCAGCCTGTGCAGATGGCAGCGGAATTGGACAGTGGGGAAGAACGGGGACCAGTCTGAGAGTCTGGAGAGGACTCGGATGAGGGTCCTGCATCCAATGCAGAGATGGGGCCAGGACCATCTGGGAGTGGGGTACTGACTCTGGAGCCTTCAAAGTCTGGCAGCAGCAAGGCCGAGGAACAAGGGGAGCCTGTTCCCAGTGCGCGTGTGCGCAGAGCTGCTAGAAGGCAAGAGCAGCTGAGACAAAAGGGGCAATTTGGTAGTAAGGCTTGGAGGTGATTGCCCCTCCCATAAGGTATAAAGGACAGGCAAAGGTGAAGAAACATTTGTAGGAAACAAAGTCGTTCATTCTGTTCGGATTAATCCTTGAAGCTCTGTGTGGACTTTGTACTTCGGTTGGTTTTTTTTATAGTTTATTTGGCACTCTAGTTTTTGGCAGAAATTCAAAGGAAAGAAAGGTGGGTGCTTATCTCGAGGGACTTTTTGGGACTCATTACCAGTTGGGAATGAACATAATTCCCAGCGTTGAAATAAAACAAGAGTTGTTTTAAATAAGCGTGTGCTTAATTACGGTCTCGGGAAGCCTTGGTCAGAACAAATGAGAAGAGTATGGCCACTGTAACTGATTGTTTTTATAGAACCTTCCACATAGAAGATTGGAGAGCGGAAAGAGTGTCCCAGAGTTGGCTTTCTAAGTGCAAGAATTAAAAAAGGAAGGACCTTCAGCTCCCCAATTGCATTCTGAAAGTTACAGCCTTGACTCATCATCCACGTGATAGTTTGGGCTCAGTGTCTGAACCAGAGATGGGAGTTTATCCCCCAAGCCAGTTAGTCTTAGATTCAGGACTCACTACTTCCTTCAACATTGGAAAGAAGGTAGTAAACCTTTTGGAGATTGGTGAGGCATTTTCAACCTCTTTTGCAGACTGGGAATCAAAACATTTTTAGAGAGGAGAAAGCTTTTACAAAAGGAGAGGTCTCCATTCCCTTTATTTAACTCAAAAAAAAATCTTGATGCTTCCTTAAGTAGTGGTAAAATTGCAAGTAGCCGCACTCACTGCTCAGTTAGTATTGTTTTACAGAATGGCTGTGACACATATTGCTCTTGAGAATCTCTTTGAGCCTTATTAGAAAACTGGCAGGTCAATGAAGGTTGTGGCTGCTGCTGCTGTTAACATTGTTCTCAGGGGACCGGTAGGAAAGAAAAAAGATGGCGCCTCCATTGGACACTAAGACAACCAAATGAAGAATCATGGCATTTCCAGTCCATCTTTTTTATCACGTATTGTATGAAATATGAAGCAGAACTGTCTCTAATTTTACACAGGACCCAAACTTAGACATAAGAAAAAATAAATGTGATAAAATGTCTAATAAACTGAGGGAATGGCTCACAGATACAAACATTTTTAGAAATGCCATTTGCAAAGTGAGAGAGCATGCATTACTACCAACATGCATTCAATTATCTTTTTTAAAAAATTGGCTGACTCACTGACTTTAACATCTATTCCATTGGATTGCTAAATGTACAAGCCCATGTGTAACACAAAGCTTTATATTTATAATTTCTTCCAGATGCATCTTCAGAATTAAACACACTGATATATCACTACCATGTTTCCTCCACTAATACACAGGCTCTAATTCTCTACTTAGCTCCCATATGGAAATGATCTGATTTGGAATCTTATCATACTGATATAATTAATCTCATATGTTCTACTCATGTTTGATAAGATAAAATTTTGTGTGTATGTGTGTCTTTATGTTAAATACACATATTGTATGGATAGCCATGCATCAATTAGCTGTTTCCAAGGGTGGTTGATAAATAATCAAAACCTGTTACCCCACTTTTGATTTAAAATTGAGCAAGGCTGTCTGTCAGATAAAATTGTTTTCTTGTAGTAGAAAGACAGAGAGAGGCTTTAATTTGAGATTGTTGTCTTCATGTGTAGGAGCTTCCATTGTTTTCTTTCAACATAGAAAGCCAATGTTGTGGAGAGAGCAAAGCTTCCTTTTATGTGCATGAATATAATAGAGTTGGAGACTGTGATTGCTGCTAACCACACTTCATCTGTGTGGTTTTTCAAAGGCAAACAATATTTATACAGAGAGGTTGGGAAAGGGTATCAATCTGCAAGCATACAAATGATCCCAGGAAGTTTTGCAAACTTCTGTGAATCAAATCTAAAGAGAACAGGACCAACCCCTGCCCCCCGCCCATTTGTAATCTTAGATTATTCTCATGAGTCTGCCTATGGGTGAATAAATCTTAGAAACTGCTGTATAAATTATCTTTGATGTTACGGCCTAATGATCACTGTTTAAGCTGGCATTTTCATTTATGAATTGTTCTCCAAAACAACAAATGTTAGTAAGTGGCAGATACTATAATGGGGAGATGATCCTAATGTTTTTGGGAACCCCATTCAGAAAGATCCAATGCAATGCAATGATCAATACAAATGTTTATTTTTAATACAACCTTAATTGTTCCATGGCAATAGCCACAGCTGACTTTTTTTTTCTTTTTTTGCTACAGAGCCATCATTAAACAGTTTAATGTAGAGTCCATACAAATGATCAACTTCTACAGGGAGAAAATGTTATATGTTGATATTGGAGAAAATCAGCATTTTTCAGATGGGCTAATAAAAGAGGATCAAAATATAAAGTAGGTAGCATAGGTGAGATTAAAGAAGAGATTATATTCAGTGCTTTTTTTCCTGAGGGAACAGTTTGAGTTTAGATTAGTTTTGCTTAGTTTCCTATTAGTGGGATCATTTTTTATTTGCAAAAATAAGTGGAGTTTACTATTGAGTAGAGTTTATAAGACAGTTTCATGACAAGAATTTTTGTCTCATTTTTTCATTAAATGCTTCTATAATTTAAATATTCATAATTTTTCAAATAGCTTTTTCGAGAATAAATAAAATAACCTATACTGGCTCTTATTAGAAATACATTTTATTTCATTATTTTTAATTAAGTAGGCTCTTCAAATTAAAACTTTTACATGGGGTCCAAGCAACAATCTTTGGCATTTTTTCTTTGAAATTAATCAGCAGTAGTTTATAAGGCAGTTTGAATGTTGAAAAATCTTGAAGTTATGTCTAGGTCTAGAAAAATCACATGAAAATGAATTAAGCATCTCAACTAGATCAAGAAACTTTTTTTATGGTTGCTGTAGACTGAGAAACATTTTTTAAAAGTTGAAATTTTGATTTTTTGCTGCTTGGCAAGTGTGCAAAATTTACTTTTACTCTAACTATGGTTTTAATGCATCTGTAAGTAAGCTTATAAGAATGTCTATTGGTGTTGATTTTAAAAGTTTCTGGATGAGTGCATTTGTGTTGCTTTTTTTTGCACATGTTGGTCACTCTTAAGTGTGCTTTTCACACACACACACACACACACACACAGAGAGAGAGAGAGAGATATTTTCATACTTTTTAAAAAAAATGTAGTGATTTAGAAGCCCCATAAAACATGCAATGGATAGTTGATATAGTTAAAGTAGCACTCAACACTTTAGCTATTCTGAACAGTTATTACACTGGCATTTAATTCAACTTTGTCCCAATTTTATTGAATTTCTTTTTAGAACTCTGTCAGGACTGTCTTTAGAGACTGGATAGGCTGGTCCTGCTCCCTGGCCTCTAGGTTTCCTTCTTCCTGTAATGTCGTTTTCGCTATGTGTGGAGCATTAAGATGGCCAGAAGCTGCAGAGGGGATCTGTGATTTGCTATTGTAAAAAAATAAATAAATAAAGCCTTGCCCAGAGGCCACAAAGATTGTGGAGCTGGTGCTGATAGGCTTTTAAAGGAGATGATTGTATATTGCTAACTAATTGTCTGGCAAATGTGTAGCCAAATTATCTCGTATTGCTGTATAATTATGAACAGGATGTCCTCGGGAAAAAGAAAGCCTGAATTCACAATTACATTAAGTCACTAAAGGAAGTCCCCACCCAACCCCCACCCGAATTTTTTACCAGTGTGAAACTGTATCAGGTTGTGGTTCCCATTCGCAGCACTGACTGCGATAAGATCAGAACCCATTTCAACTCTCTGAGCTAATTGGAAACATCAAATCTTCTTTGCTCAAATTTAGCTATGCTTCATTTAAAAGTTAAAAGCAGCTCCTGGGAGAAAGAGAAGCTTCATTATTCAAAACCTTTTTTAGAAGCAGCATGGTTGACCTGGAATGATTTAAATTCTTGTCACTAAGCTTTTTTTTTAAGGTCTTTCTAAAAGAAAGAAAGAAAGAAAGAAAGAAAGAAAGAAAGAAAGAAAGAAAGAAAGAAAGAAAGAAAGAAAGAAAGAA